TGAGGTCTCACAAACTGCTGAAACTATAATGGATAAAATAAAATGTCCCACTAAAATACGCTTGCTAAGTACTCCAGAATTATAATTTGCTAGTCTGTGTAGCCACTCTAAGCTTTCCCAACTGTGTCTGCATGTTGGTGGTAACTGAGAGAGCACTTTACTAATTATTTAATAGAGGATTTTAAACTTTATTGATTTAGTTGTCCTTCATATAGGGAGAAATCAGCTGATTGAAATAATTCTTTCCTGGAGGCTTTTAAAATTTGAATTAGTTTCCTGCTATCAGTTCTAGCAGTTGCCTGTTTCAAAGCTAATTCTATTCTGTATTGCTCTCTGACTTGGTTCAGGAACAGGCAACTGCTATTGATAGCAATGGTGTTAGTTTACTTGAGAGGCTAACTGAAAAGCAAAGTAGCCATAATAAAAGTTTATCTATTTCATTTAAAATGTTTATCTTGCATTTCAGGATATACTGCCTTCATTTGTTCTCTTGACTGTGTCTCCCTGGATATAATGTATAAACTGAGACTGGGTAGAGGACAACTCCTGAGGATAATTTTGATTCAGATAGGTGAAGCTGCCTTGAAAAACAGAAAAGTTTAAATGATACTAATGCTTTCCTGAATGGTAGTGTGAAACTCAAAATAATTTGAAATGCTAAATTTTCCATCCAGCAGATTCCAGAGTCACACCCAAATTTTTCCAGCATAAAAATTAATTTAGCTCAGTCAGACAAATATGAGTTTTCTGAAGACCATCTCCCACTGTTTGTTGCACATTGAAACACATTGAAGGATGTAACAAGGAAGGAAACTTTGCAAGGATAAGAGAGAGTTTTTAAAAAGAAGATTCATTGTCCAAATTCTCTTCCCAATGTTTGCCTGCTTGTCTTCCTGAATGCAAGAAAGACTGTTCAGTTTGCAAGCTTAGCACTTGAAATGGCAGGTGGATGCTGGGGTGCTTGAAATAGTAAGCTGGGTGAGTAAGCGCTTAAGCCTACTGTTTAACATGGCTGGCTGGAATATTTAGAAGAGTGTGTAAAAAGTGTAAGGAAGAGTGTGATCAAGAAAAGTGGAAAGAACTGGTGAAGCCTCAGGGCTGGAGTGAATCTAGTAACGTTCTTTAAAAACAGGTTTGTCTTTTCTTTACACTTCATTGTGCTGGCATAAGTAATTGCTGGTCTTCATTACAAATATAAAAGAAATTTAGGAAGAGCTGGTGCTGTGCAACACAGTATCAACCTCTGGCAAGTCAGCATCCTTATGAAGGGCATTAACTTTCTGACCCAGAAAATAACTGAATTGTATGAATCCAGTGAGGATTCCAGAGACTATATTGGAGACTACAAAGGATTGGACACTGATACTGTCCCAAAAGTTGCCAAAATAGTGTTGTCAGCTTGCTGAGTTTTATTTCTTGAGCTTAAAGAAGTCAAGTAAAATGGCTTATTCCCCTCAGTCTTAGGGCTAACTAACATAGATACCGTACTTGCATGGTTTCCTTTTCAGCCTGAATAGCTTGAAGCTGCTCAAAATATATTGCTATAACAAGTGCAGACCAGACATGTATGTGCTATGTAAGTTCTCACATGTAATTCATAATATGCACTGTGCATATTATGAATTGCAGATACTTTTTCATGTGAGTGTTTGGTAAAACATAACAACCCAAAATTAATGAACTACAACTTCATTTATGTCAAAAACAAAACAAGTCCTGGTTGGGTAAACCTTTTGTCATTAACTGCTGCTATATTTCTTGCCTTGTTTCTTGATGAACAGCAGGTATGAATGTCACTTCTGTCATTTTTTTATATATTTGATATAGGAAGCAAATATAAAAAAATTCAAGCAAAGGAGAGAAAGAACATGAGAAGCAAACATGTTTAGATCCTTTTAAATCATTTATTGTGAAATTTTATCTCTTGCTTTATCTTCCAAATGAACAAAAGATAGCTTAATAATCTGCAGGTACTAAACTAAATCAAACAGCAGCAAAGCAGAAATAAGCTAATTCTGAAAACCTTTTGGAAATTAGAGGTGAGAATACTTACCTGACAGGGAAGATACCTTGATCAGGAAATTAGAGGTGATTTAAACCTTTCTGGGAAAGCACTCCTTGAAAATATCATGCTACTAACAGCCTCCCACAACATTTTGGTCACTGTCCTCTCAGAACAGGACTTCAGATACTAAACAGGGAGAACAGAGGTTCTCAAACAGAAGGAGGTGGCCCTTCAGGTACCTAGGTTTCAAACCAATTAGGGCTTTAAGAACCTTGAGTTGAACTCAGCAACGAATAAGCAGCCGGTGTAGATTAAAATATTTATGTGACAATATTGTATGAAAAGCCAGAGGGTTACTACATTGGTGTTTGACCTGCTGTTTAGTCCACTATGGGGATAGGCTGGCTTGCTTCTTTTGCTGACAGTCAGTCAACATAAATTCCAGTGTGAACTAGCCAGTTTCTAGAGTTTTCTTACCCACACCTCTCTGGGTCCTTGTTAGGAGTTACCCATTTTAAAGTGTGGGTAGAACTGCTTCTGTTTTTGTTCATTTCTAACATGTACGATTGCTGGCACTGAACCAAAGTGAAGCCTGCCACCTTAAATTTCACATCTCCTTTTAATTTCAGTATCATTAAATGGCTTGAGAAGATAGTCTGGCCATTTCATGATATTGGGAAATTTGAAACTTCCTCTGCTCATCCATGGAGGGGCAAGGGAAGGAAGCAACAGGTTTTTAAAAGTGTATTAGAGCAGTGCTAATGCACTGTGCCCCTTAGGGAGGATTTTTTTAAAAATTGAAAACTTCCTCCCAGAAGGTGGAGGTAAAGGGGGAAAGCAGGGCAATTTCCCCCTCCATTTTCTTTGGAAAACTAAAGGCCTACTAAATCAGTAGAACTTATGGCGGAACTGACTCACCCCACTGATTCAATGGGCCTACTTTAGTTATGACTTACTAGTGGATTCCAGCCATTATCTTGATACTTACTGTGCCTAAGGATAATGCTTAGTGAGACAAAGTCAGTTTTATATAATATAAATCTGTATTACCAAAGGTAAGATTCCCAGTTATACATGTTACACAGTCATGAAGTTCAAGAGAATTTGTGTGGGAAGCTGTGTAGTTGCAGGTTGGATTGGTTGGACTGTGCTTTCCATTATCAATAAACTACATCTGTTTCAAGATACATGTCTTCCTTTCCATCCCACAAGATTACATCAGAAAAGTAAAAATTTTGAAGGCTCTAAAGAGATTTAAAGAGGCATAGTGCTGTTATGTTCCACTGACAGGAAAAACAAGCAGTTTTTATCTAATTGCTCCTGAATTTCCTTGACAGTTCAGGAAATACTTTTGCAGTGAGGAATCTTCAACCCTGTGAGGTAATTTGATGCTCTAAGTTTTCATAGGCAATTTGTGATATTTTATTGAAATAAGGCTCATTCTAAGAGTTTTAGATGAAAAAACACTGTTGAAATTGATAACCCAGTTAATAAATCTTTAAAATATCACATATTAAAACCATGTCCATGATGAGGTCCTATTTTTAGATACAGAAGCAAGGACAGACTACAAGGAGTCCATAATCAAAAATTGGAAAGCTCCTTCTGCTTGCTTTTTTATATCTACCACTTTAGTGCAAGATATAGTGATGGTATCAGGAACAGAGATGGAGGTACAGTATTTGTATACGAATACAAATATCCCTGCACAGGTAGAAATAACGAGAGTCTGACCCCCTGCCACTCATGATTTCACTGCTGACGTGAGATCGTCGGACCTTCTTAATGCGCTGTTGTCCGCAGTTGATTATCTTGTCCTGGCAGGAGGCGGGATGACAAGGTCGGAGAGTGGCTAATCCATTGCGGAGAACAGCGCGATAGGAAGCCACTGTGGAGCTGGCAGCAGCAGTGAAATTGTGAGTGGACAGTCCAGTCCCATTGGGCCCGGACCCTCATTATTTCCACCTGTGCAGGGATATTCGCATACAAATACCCCCATCTCTAACCAGGAAGTAGATGTACCGTTGCCCTTGATTAACCCTTTAATTTAAATGGATTTAGCAAATCAGAACATGCCAAGACATGCATAGATAGCTTGGAGGTCTCCATTGGATAGTCTCATGTACAAAAAGGGTCTGCACGTACTTTACAGTACACATAGATTTCTGGATGGAGAAAAGCGCAGTGTTTTTAGACACAAGAAAATACTCGAAAGCAGACCATTCTTCTTGCAAGTCTTTCTCCCTTTATGGGATGAAGTCTGTGCAAGTTCTGTTCAGTGCTGAAGTCCTCGTGGGTCAGCAAAGTATAATGAACACTGATAGTAGAAACCTCTCTGAATACGTTCCTCTCGGTTCTTGGAAATAGTTGCTTGTAATTTTGGCACTCTACCACACTAAAGTGTCACTCTAGAATGATCACTGTAGCCTCAGTTGGATGCCCAGTGAGTGTAGTAGCTGGCAAAATGTAAGTTGAGTGTTGAAATTGGTTGTTTTGATAGAAAGTTACCCATTAAATTCAAAGATAGACCATTTAAGCTCTTCATACGGTTACGGCTCTTGTGTTGTTGCTCTTGTTCTTGTTCTCACTCCGATACTTGGGCAATATCCACAAAGTTGGCTTCAGCCTGTCTTTGACTTGCTGCCTTTCAAGTCCCCACCCCATCACAGAGCAGTGAAAACCTTGCATGGTGTAAGCCAGTAATACTTTTATGTTTGTGCAGCTGACTCACAGCATGGTTGCTTCTGCTAATTCTGTGCATGAAGATAGCTGTGGGTTTTGTAAAGACAGCAATTGCTTGGTCCAGCAAGGCTTCCTTACTGCAGGCTATGCTCTGTCCCCAAGGTGAGTTTGTCACCATCCTAATGCTGCCATCCTTTGCTGGGTCAAAGCTGGGTTTGTTTCACCAGCATGTTCTGCCTGTGATGACCTGCATTAATTATTTTATGTTCTTCCCCTCCCCTTTTTTGTGTGTTTTTTTTCCTCTTCTTCCTAGATAAATGGCTCATTTAAATTGGGAGCTGCTACTAAAATATTCTCTGGTTGGCAAATGCAGTGCCTAGCAGCTGCTATCAAGGACGAACCAAACATGAGTGGGGGAGGGGAACAGGTCGACATTCTGCCGGCCAACTACGTAGTGAAAGACCGCTGGAAAGTGGTGAGTATATTCCTTTCTTTCCAATCTCTCTTCTCTCTTTAACAGTGCATGTCATCTCCAGGTGCTCCCTGCCTTTTTAAAAATTTGGACTGTTCCAAATACAGTGGTGCCTCGCATAGCGAACACTTCGCTATGCGATGAAACCGCACAACGATGGGTCCCGGGCCATCGCTGGAGCGTTCGCTCAGCGATGTATTCCTTTCTTTCCAATCTCTCTTCTCTCTTTAACAGTGCATGTCATCTCCAGGTGCTCCCTGCCTTTTTTAAAATTTGGACTGTTCCAAATATTTTAGGTGGATGAATTGCTTCTCCTGGTACTTCCAGGACTGTGTGGATAACTGCTTCCAGTGACTTTTTAATAAGGCATAGCAAGCCACTCTCTTTGCTGTAGCATGCTCAGTATTTGAATCATAGAATAATTGAGTTGGAAGGGGCTACAAGGTCATCAGGTCCAACCCCTTGCTCATTGCAAGAATCCAAATCAAACCAGATCTGACAGATGCTTGTCCAATGTTAGGCCTCATCGGATGCAGAGTATCTTGACTCCCCTCACTCCCATTGAGAATGTAGGGGTAGTAGGATAGGTCCTCTGGAATGCTTAACACCACTGCTTAAGTCATCTGTAGTGGTTCCTGTTGCTTTTTGGGAGATTTCTGTGTATGCTAGTTTTAACTTTAAAAGCAGCAATCTTATATGTTGTGTATAAAGAAGATACTACAGTGGACCCTCAACTTACAGACGGTTCGACTTACAGACTTTTCGAGTTACAGACTTCTCTGGCCACAAAATTTAGGTTCGACTTGTAGCCAGAGAATCGACCTACAAACCAGAAAAAAACCAAAATGGAACAGAAACGGAACAAAAATGGACGGTTACGGATTAAACAGTTTCCAATGCATTGTAGGTCCATGGAGCCTCGACCTACAGACTTTTCGACCTGCAGCCACTGTTCCAATACGGATTAATTTCGTAAGTAGAGGGTCCACTGTAGTTTGCAAGCAGCAAAAAGAAGAAATATCCAGAAGAATGTTCCTAGGAAAAGAGATATATCCCACTTGACTCTTATTGCTAGTTTGTTTCAGTTAGGTTGCGTTCAATCATAAAATATTTACCTGGTTAGAAATTTTACTTTATCACTTGCCATTTAATTATGTGGACCTTTTGTCTCTGTGATCAATAGATATAAGGGCCAGGTTCACTTTCAATGTTGGCTTATTTTGATATTCAAGCTGGCTGTTCCTTTTGAAACAGGAACTATTATGCATTTATAATGTACTTCCACAAATTTAACTCTGCTAAAAGAGTTTGCATTCTGAGATAATATGCATGGTTACTTTACAGTGAGTGTCTCAGTGTAATGCTGCTTCCAGGGCTTAATTTGGTGCACTGTTTCTTGGCTCATCTCTGTAGAGCACCTAATGCATAAGGACTTGCTTATTCTTTAGGCAAGACTGCAAATTACAGATATGTGTTGTACATGTGGAAATAAACAGAAACCCCTTTTAGGTGTTATTTACCTTGCTTTTATCCATATACGAGGGAGGACTCTCACTTTTCTGTCATCACATTCTCCACATGAAAAGTGACACATCTGTAGTGGAAAGGTTTCTGCTTACTCAGAGGCCAAGGGAAATCAGGGCAAGAACATCTTTTCAGCTGTGTTGTTTTTCAGATGAAGAGACTGAAGTTCAAGGGTGCGGGGTTTGGGTGCTCCTCGGATGTAATTGGGAAAAACAGAGTAACATCTGAACAGGTTTAGAGCATGCATATCTCAGGTCCTGCAGGTTCCATGTATTTTTTCAGTTTGTCTAGAGTAAAGTAATTGGTGATTGTGCTTGGCTTTTCCACCATGCTGTTTGTGTTGCTTCAGAAGACGTGAACTGTGGTTGAGAAGGTCAACTGTTAATATGGTTTTCATGCTAGCTCTATTTTGAAGTGCCTGGTCTGCAGCCAACAGGATCAACTTCTGTTGTGCTAATCCATCCAGTGGTATCATAATATTTTTGAAGGGAAGAAGGCTGAATATGCTGAATATAACATCCTTGCTGTCTGACATAGTCCACTTGAAGGATGTTATATTTTTAGAATACTTTAATGGAAGCTGAGTGTTTTACCAGAGCTCTCTTATCTCTGCACATCCTAATCTCATTTCTGTCTTCCATATCTTTCCGTTTTAATGTTTTGCTTTTTAAAAATTATCTACATAATGCTTTAAGTACTGTAGAGTTCTATGAAAAAATTTTGCTTTCTTGCATTTCCTTTTCTTTGGGATGGTTTTCGTTGCTGCCTCCTGAACAATGTTACGAGCCTCTAAAAAATTGTGCTTGTCTTCAAACATAAATGGAGTCTTCTGAGTTTTTGCTTGTGCAATAATTATTGGAAAAGGCAGTTTTCTTGTAACAGCAAAGGAGTTTCTAGTTACTACTGTGTTTTTTTAGTTGTCGATGTGTGCTTCAATACAACATCATGTATCAACATTTCTGCCTCTTCAGATGTATATCAAGACTTACAGAATTCTAGTTTTCTATTTTTAGTACCATACAGTATGTTGCCCCTTGTTTCATAATGTCTGTTTTGTCTACTAGAGTAGCATCCTAATAGCATGGATGTAGCTATAGATGCTGCAGTGGAAAATCAAGCTTTTTCTGTCATTCCCTTCATAGTGAAACAATATTTCCCCACCCCATTTTCTTCAATTATTTTGTGTTAATTGGAACCAACTCCAAAAACAGAGGAATTCAGGATTAGGTAATTTCTCTATTCATTTTTCTTTCCCCACTTCTGCTGCATCTCTGTGTGCTGTCCTGAATAAGTGTGGCCTTCAGCTTCTGCCCCCTAAAGTTACTAGAACTGTTCAACCACAGAAATGGTTGTATAGCTCTTGAAGTAGTTGAGAAAGAGCAGTCTTTAATCCTGCCATGAAGAAATAAAGACTTTACATGAAGAGAGAACCAGTTTTCTTTAGCACTAATGCTAATCCAGCCTTGTTCCCCTATGCCTGAGTTAGTCTATAGGAAAATTGGGGGGGGGAGTGTATTAGTGTGCAGGTGTATGCATTCATGCACAATCATTTTAAATTGCCTGCTTTATTATCCCCTATGTTATAAATAAAATTTAAATAAATGAAAGTTTTTTGGATTTCTTTCTTTCCTTCTTTGACCTATGTATCCCACCTTTCTCCCAAAACTGATACTTAAATCTCAGCAAATTTAAAGAAGGAAATTGCGTGCACTAACTTTGAGCCTCTTTTTTAATGCTACTGAATGTGTTTAACCTGCATGGATGGCTTGGAGAAGGACACACATTAAAGTTATGAATGTGATCATGTTCCTGAAGCCACCTCTGTTCTTTAGAACTAGATTGTTTCAGCTCATGCATTCTGTATTTAAGGTTCCTCCAGTCAAATTCACATTCACTGTTGTTGGCTGGAAATGATATAAGTAGGTATCCCTGATGTTTGTCAGCATCAAGGCCAATTGTATACTACAGTTACAGGCATGATTGTATCAGCCTTCCATATTAAAATTTTGTCCTAAGTTTAAGGAGAATTGCATCATTACAACTTATAAAATGTTCAGTAGAGCTTCTGGTGTAGTTAAAAAGAGTATGTGATTTAGAGTGTTCTTGATTTTGGTTCTCAAATCAACACAAAATTTTGATACTATTGGAAAATCCCAACATATGTAATAGAACAATATAAGCTGCCCACATCCCCTCCGAAACTGATTTATAGAATTATAAGTAATATAATCAAGCTAATTTTAATAGGATGAAGGACCATTTATATGGAATGTTAACTGTTGTTTCCTTAACTCAGGCTGATATAGATTTGAATGCTTTTTGAGGGCAGACTCATTCCCAGTGTTGTTCATTGATAATATAATAATACTAATTGTGTGCTGTTAAGTCAATCCTGATTTACGGTGACTGTTTCCAGGGTTTTCCGGGTAGAGAATGTCAGTAATTGGTCTCATAAATGAGATCAAAAACCACAAAACAGGAAAATCCAGGCTTCCTTCACTCCCGATTGAAGTGAACTGCTTGAGTCAAACACAGTTCCGGGACATGAACTCTTGGACAACCTGTATTTAAGGCTGTTTCGATTTTACTAAAAAGAAACCATTTAACACCGTAGCTTTACTGTTCAAGGACTCAATTTTGGTAACGTAAGGCCAGATGAGATCAAAAACCACAAAACAGGAAAATCCAGGCTTCCTTCACTCCCGATTGAAGTGAACTGCTTGAGTCAAACACAGTTCCGGGACATGAACTCTTGGACAACCTGTATTTAAGGCTGTTTCGATTTTACTAAAAAGAAACCATTTAACACCGTAGCTTTACTGTTCAAGGACTCAATTTTGGTAACGTAAGGCCAGATTCATTATCTATAGGGAAACTGTTCTGTTCAAAGGACTAGAAAGGCCAATTATTAAACAACATGAGTTTATTTAAGTGAACAAAGAAAACATTTCTCTACAATTTCATTTCTAAGCAACAGCATAACGTTTCAGCACCTTCTATAAAAGTTAACTATTGAAACAAAACAAAATCTAAACTGTAAACTAAGAAAAACAAACAATATTCTTACGCAGTCCATATTGTTAAATCAGGTTCCTTCGTCTGGATCAAAGATATTCAACGCCATGTTTTCAGATACCCAAAACTCTCTTCTCTCTCTCTCTAGAGTCCCTTTTTTCAACTTCTTGTAAATTTCTCCAACCTGCCCCTTCCTGCCATACTCGACCAATCATGAAGGAAGGAATTAGCATAGGGTACGCCCTACTTTCTCACCAACACCAAAGAATTGTTTATAATTCAGGTTAGAAATATTTTGACTCTGCTGTGTTTTTCTCTCCAGCTGCAGCGATAAGCTTGGCAACATGAAGCTGAAAATAACTACTAGTAATTTTCCAGAACTTAGCCTGTGTCAGACTCAAAATGGATTTCTCTATGGTTAAAACATGACTACATAACCCATCTCTAATTAGAAAAATACACTT